AAACTGCCAGATCAAACCAGGTGACTGGTCCCAAGGCTCCTCTGGGGCAAGCTGCCTCACCAGCTCTCTGCTCTCACCTTAGCTGGTTCCAGTCCTGGCAGCGAGCTTGCTTTCTCACGAGCCCACCCTTCAGCAAACTCTCAGCCACGGCCAAAACCTAACTAACTGTTATCAAGCACCTACTGGGTGCTAAGTGCTGTGTTTAGGCACGTTCTGGCTGGGCTCCTTTCCTTTTTGTACATAGCACTGAGGCAGGTCCCTGTGGTGACGCTCTCTTACTGTGCATAATCACTCTTGTCGCTGACATTAACCCCCAACCCCACTCTGGTGCTGGGAATGGAACCCAGAGCCTTGCACAAGCTAGGCAAGTGCTCCATCACTACACCCCCAGCCCCTATTCTCTTGATTTTTTACACGGGGGGCATTGGTGCTAAAGGATAAGGCTGGGATTTCAATTCAGACCTATCTGGTCTTTCTATGACAATGGCTTATGTGCTGCACGGCAGCCCTGTCTGTCTAGAGTGCACCTCTGGGCATTGTCCTGTAGCTCACTCAACTGGGCAGGAACTGGGCACCATGACGTGATGCGGGTACAAATTCAAATCTGGGGCTTTGCCCTGAAAGATCTTTTGATCTAGTTGGTAGTGAAAGCTCTATTGCTTTACATAATGGTAGCTGAGTGCTCAAGGATATACTGTACCTGGACACCTCTTCTGTATGCTACCCAGACAGACAGGTTCTCTCCTGATGACGTCATGACATGTTGAGCACCTGCAGGATGCTGGGGAGGTCATGGAGAGTGAGCAGCACAGATCCAGCCCTGATGATCCTGTCTCCCTCCTTCCCGCTTATGGACATCTGCTCAGTCAGTGCAGGAACTGTGCACGATAATGTTCTTCTGAAATCTCCATGGTGCTTCTCCCAGGCAAGGGTACCTAGGAGGTTCTTTCAGGATGGGGAGGATGGCAGGGCTTGGGAAGGGGTATGTACACAAGAAAATGTCTAATATCTTCTGTCTTTTTCCCCACAACATGGTCTAAGTCTGTTTGGTCCTTTTCTGTAGGTTCAGATAACAGTGGTCACAGAGCGGGTACGAGGTGGGTGAAGGTTTGTACTCTAGCCATGATAGTGAAGGCAAACCTTAGTCCAAACAATGCCATGCACGTGGAAAGTTGTCATACAGGTTTCTGCAGCAAAGCAGGCCACTATAAGGACAAATCAGGTCCTAGCAGCAGCTTCATCAGCTCAAAGGAGTGCCAGCTCTGTCCTTCTGGGTTCTGTGCCACTGCCAGTGTAATGATCCCCAAACACTAGGCAGGAGTCTATGTCTTCTACAGCACCAGATAGTCAGAATTCCTGCTCATGAGTCAGCCAAGGTAGTGCATGCTTGTACTTCCATATACTTGGGAGTCTGAGGCAGGAAGATCACAAAGTCAAAGCCAGCCTGGACACCTTAGCAAGACCCCGGCTCAAAATAAAAATTTTAAAAAGTGATAGAATGGGAATATAGCTCAACGGTAGAGTACTTTCCTGGCATGCACGAGGGCCTGAGTTCAATCCTCAGCAATACACACATGCACACACACACGCACACACACACACCCCTTGACCGGTAAGATAGTCTTGTGTCCAAGAATTCTGTGTGTGTGTGGCGGGTAGGAAATGTGCCTCCAGGTTATCCTAGCCTCACCTGTTAGTGCAAGGTGGAGAGTGTCCTTATACCATATTTGATAAGCCATGCTTTGAAAGCATTTAATTTCACCAATCAGAGGCCATTTCTAAATCTATCACTTTTTTTGTTGGGAAGCCGAAGGTGGTGGCATGGGGATGGCACCCTGGGCCTTGCACTGAGCCATATTTTCAGCCCTTTCTTAACAAGCAATCCTTCTGCCTCAGCCTCTTGAGTAGCTGGGATTAGAGGTTTGTGCCACCATGCCTGGCTCTATCATGGTGTCGATATCTAGTTTGCTAATTAGATTTGTCGGCTGTTGATTAAACCTGATGGCCAAAGGACTTGTGACCAGGCCTGGAATGTGCCCCTGCCTGTTACAAGTCCTGTAGCTTACCTGCTGGGGCTGTCTTATCTGACCACTCCTGGTTAAAGCTTATAGAACTGGCTATCACAGCACATTCATTATACAGAATTAGTTTAAAATTTTTTTTTAGATACTGAGAAAAATTAAATCAATCATAGCCATTGTTTAAAAAAATCTATTTTAAGGACACAAAACAGCACGTGAACCAGAGTCAAGCACCAGCAGGCCTGAGTGTGCTGCACACCCAGGGTGGCTGGAAGTGGTCCTGGTGGCGGCTGTCAGGGTCAGCGCCAAGAGTTTGAAACTTTCTGAGGGTATGAGTCTGCGGGGACCCTCCTGCCAAGTTCGTTTCCTTGCTGCCTTGTGGGTGTTCCCAGCAAAGACTGCTGATGCTTGAAGAACTAAATAATTACAATAATGATGATAAAATAGAAATGGCTTTCCCAGCTGAACAGAAACTGGAGAAGACAAGGAGGTTCCCACACCCAACTTATTGTTTTTGGCACCAGGATCTCAGAGCCCCTGGGAGGCAGATGTCTGGGCCCGCTGCTGGCCTCTTTGAGCTGTGGTTGTGGGGGACAATGGGGACCTCTGGGGAATTTCAGAAGCATCTGCAGGGATTTCCCGCCTCCAAATGCCAGGCTGAAAACTAGCAGCTGAGAAAGGGACTCTCTTCTGTCTTGCCTTACTTTCTTCTGAATCCTCAAGGCCCTGAGAAAGGACCCTCTGTGATGTACACACTGGTGAAATGGCACGGTTCTGGTTAAGTTATGGTGCCAGGCTACCTGACAGATTCGGCCACAGGGCATAACCCTTTCTCTTCTAGTGCCTCCAGGACAGGAGATCCCAGGGAAACTTGGATTCCACAGACAGATGTATCAGTAAAATGCAACCAAAATGCATAAAGCCCGGCTGGGGTGTGGAGCAAGTGTGCTTGAGGCCTTGGGTTCAATTCCCAGCTTCCACGCGTGTACATACACCACACAAAGCACAAAGTCTTCCTGATAGACTTAAAAGAGCTACATAGCTTCTAGAGGGCTGGGCCATGGGTGTCTGAAGGGAATACCAGTGGGAAGAGGATCTTGCCAGTGCAAAGAGAAAATTGGCAGTTATGTGGCTGGCATCTCTCTATAAAAATATGGTTGATCATGGAGATGCTGAAGTTGAAAGAAGGGAAAAGAAGAGGGGAAAGGAAGGCCAGCTCTATGACCTCATGCTGCTGGATAGGCAGCATATATAACATGGTACCCTCAGGGCAACCCTACACAATCCAGGTTTATAGAACCAAAAGTGGAGGCTCAGAAAGTCCCTTGTTTGAAGTTCTCTAGCAAGGCAAAGAGAGAGGTAGATTGGGAGGTGGATCCAGTTGGTTCCCAAACCTGGCTATCATTGTTCCCTTTTAGGCCTTTACCTGAGTTGCAACAAAGTCCCCTTAGAACTATCCAGCTCTGTCTCACCTCAGGCCCTTTGCACATCCTACCTATGATCTTCTTCTTTGACTCCTTTTTTCTCTTCCTCCTTCAGACTCTCAGGCAGAACATCACTGTAATTCTTATTTTTTGAGCCTTACTTGAGTCATACTTTTCCTTCTTAGGATTATTGAAATTAGTACAGCCACTTATTAATACAAGTTAGCTTTCTCTTCCTCCTAGAAAACAAGTGTGTGTGTGTGTGTGTGTGTGTGTGTGTGTGTGTAGAAACATGGTCCTTCTTATTCATTGTTTGACCCTTAACCTTAGCATAGCAGCCACACAATCAGTAAACACTGAGTGCACACACGGACAAAGGAATGAACTTGACTCTCCCTCAATGACTGATCCTCCTAACCTGATGCCAGTGCTCCCCAGTGAAGAGGAGACTTTCAATAATAAACCAGTAAGCAAGAGTCACTAGGTCCAGATCGCATATGTTCAAATGATTAGTCATTTCAAGTGTGCCTGTGTTTGTGGGGAAGGGTACTTGGGAGGGGGAGAACATGGTCACTTGGTTACTGACTGCAAAATATCTCTTGAATGTCTCCAGAGAGCTCTTCAGGATACTAGTTTGAGGCTACAAAAGTAGCTCTATCTTAGGGTTTTCCTTTCTTGTCTTGCTTTGCGTCTGCTGCCCACAGGCCCTCCTGCTTTCACCGGGTTGCTATGGATGATGCCCACCTCTTCTTGGAAGCTCAGAGAAGCAGCCTCACTTGGTCTGTGTCCAGGGACACATCCTGAAGGAGTATCCAGGTGAGGAAAGGCAGCACCCTGAGCAAGCCTTCTTCTAGCAAAGCGAAGGCTTTGAACGAAAGTGCCCACTTGTTGGAGCAAGGTCTTCCTTGTCCGAAACACCATCAACTCTAATTTCAACTCTAATTTCTCTTGCAGTTTGGATCTTTACAGTTTACAGAGGACTTCCCTAACCACTGCCCTGAGCAGGGCGAGAGCAGCTATCCACTCTCCAGATGAGGAAGGTGAGGCGGGTGTGTTGGGCTTTTTCACAAGGGGAGGGGCCAGAACCCTGGCTTCCTTCGCGGAAATTGGCAGGTGCGACATGAAACCCATGGAGAATGACCTCTTTCTGGTCCAAAATCATCAGGCTGGTGACTTGCAAGGCCCAGACTTCAGCAGGTGTCCCCTTCGGCCCTTGGGGAGAGGGTCTGCACTCAGCAGGGATGGGGATGGTAAAAGGGGCACGACTGGCTTTTCGCAGCTCTGAGATTTTCCTTAAAACAATATATATATTTTTTTCTTCTGGAAGGAGTTAAAAATGAAAGGAGCTTCACAAGCAGCGGGCCGCCAAGGCGGGATGAGGTCGCGCTCCCTCCACACCTCGACTGCAGCTGTGCTGTGGGGGGCAGCAGCCAGCCTGGGCCGGCGCGCCGGTGCGTGGTGTGTGTGTGTGTGTGTGTGTGTGTGCGCGCGCGCGCGCGCGCACGCGCAGGGGGGAGAGCGAGCATCGGGACACAAACGTGCGGGACACGACGCGCGGGAAGGACTCCCCAAAAGTTTGTACTACGGGACCCTCGCGCTTGGGAATTAGTTCTAAAAGGGCCGTCGCTGCGCTCCCTCCATTCTGTTTCCCCCACCTATGGCCTCTCAGCATCCCGCAGTTCCCGGAGGGTGAAAAACGGGCAGCGGCACAGGTCTCCAACCATCCTCCCCGCCCGATGACCCTCTGCATTCCTCCAACACTCTCCTTCCTCCCGCCCCGCGCTCCTTTTGTCCGTCCCCTCTCTCTCCCGGCTCCCGGCTGGGCCTGATCGCAGTCTCCAGCCCCCCAGAGAGCCAGGGCGGGCAAGCAGGGGGCTGTTCTCCGCCCCCTCCCCCTAGGAGAGGCAGCCCGCGGCGGGGGCACCCCGAGCCGAGGCTAATCGCCCCCCTCCCCCAGCGTGTGCCATCTGCCGCCTGTCAGCCTCTCTCCATGGGCCTCGATCCCAGGCGCCGGCGGGGGTGGGGGTAGCGGCTGATTCGGCCCCTCCTTCCTGGCTTCTTCCCAGGCGTCTCGCGGCCTCTGCCCTGGCCCTGGCCCTTGGCACCCTTGAATCTAATCCTGGCCATCCCTGGGCTGCGGGAGGCGGCTCCTATTCCCTGCGGGAGGGCTGGGATGTTGGATACCAGGACTCACGAGGTGGGGAGAGCAGTGGTGGTGGGGGGTGGCAGCCCTAACTCGGGGGCGGGGCAACCCTTAGGACCCAGATCCTAGTTAGGGGGTGTCTCTGCCCTGGCCCTGGACTCTCGGTCTCCTGCTGTCAAGAGCGTTTGCCTAGGTCCCCGTCTCTGCCTCAGGAGACGGCCTTGGGCGCGCACGAACGGAACCCCCTGCCTCGGGCCTTTCTCCGCATCCGCCGGCCCGCGCTTCCTAGCCGCAGGGGTGCGGGGGTGGCATCTACCTAGGCAATCAGCCCAGCACGGGGTTGGCGAACAGGGCCCGGCGGGACCTCGAAGCGAGCCGAGGGGGGCGCAGGCCCGGCTGGAGGGCAGGCCGGGGAACGGTGGGGAGCGGGCACCCTGCTTGGGGCGGGCGCCGCTGCTGGGCTGGCCCGGGCGCTGCTCTCTGCGGGCAGCGGGTTTTTCCGTGAAAGGTTGCCCTGGGTAACTCGTCTCCGAGGGGACACAACCCTCCCCTCTCCAAGTGGCAACTTATCGATCCGCGAGATTGATAACCCCCAGCGCCGCGCCGCGCACCCGCTCGGTTCTCTCGACTCAGGGGCGCGCCGGCCCAAGGTGGCGCCACTTGCCTGGGAGGGGGGCGATGTCGGGGCCTCTCCCCCACCGAGACCTGGCCTTCTGCAGCTGCTGGGGGAGGAGGAAGTTTCAAAGGGACGGTTTAGGGGACCGCCTGGGAAAGACTTTTCCCAAGCCTGCGCCCTCCTTGGGCCTACTGCAAGACTGGAGCCACCACTGGTCAGGACCCGTAGGACGCGAGGCGCCCCCTGGTGGCTGGGGCAAAACTGCGGAAAGTAGGAGCTGGTTTATTTCTTTTGTCAGCTGCGGAGGGCAGAGGTGCTATTGCAGTTTTGGGGTATGGTGTTCCTTTCCTTGTCATTGCCGGGAAGTGCGGACCTGGTACAGGACCCCTGAAAATGCAGGCGTTGGGTAGCCCAGTGGTGGGAGAGTTTGCCGGATCCAGGGCAGAGGTGGTTTTAGACACCGATTGATGGAGCAAAACAGAAGGAAAAGCCAGGTCCCAGAATAATTGTTGTGCGTGGGGCAGAAGCAGTGGGGGTGCACCATGACAGGGCCCATTCCTCACTTTGTGCAGTTTGTGATGCTCATGCATCAGGGCGAGCCGGACAGTCCGCATGGGCCCTGTGTCTGTCCCCTCCTCCCGCCCCCGGTGCACAGGCGCCCAAGCCCAGGCCTCGCGTGCCGGTGCGGTGCCCGCGCCCGCGCCGTATCTACTGCCGCCGCTGCCGCCGCCGCCGCGGTCCGGGTTTTGCGGGCGGCCAGAGCTGTATTTCCAGCGCTGTCCATCGCTCGGTGCTGTTGGCCCTCTCTCCGTCTGATCCGAGCCGGAGCAGTGCGGGGCGCCCCACGGGATCAGAGCGCTCCCCCGCCGGGACTCCGCTCCTCACATCCTCCTGCTGGGACCCGGCTACATTTCCAGCCAAGCCTGGCTTTATTATGTGTCTCTGCAGTGCAGCCCCAGCAGCCGGATCAGGAGGAGGAGAGCCAGCGACCACAAAGAAGACAGGAGCGCGAGGG